GAGGGGTGTGATTTCTTAATCCCATAGCCTTTGGGGCTGATGCAGCTGGTTTCTGCTGCTTGAAAAAAAAAAGAGCTTGAAATTTTGTGCTAAAGAGGATAGGGGGCCTCTGAAGGATTTAAAGCCAGGGAGTAACATCATCAAGTTTGCTTTTTGGAAAGTTCCCCCTAAGATCACAATGGATGAACAGTTGGAGGAGGCAGGCCAGAGGCTGGAAACAGAAGGTTTGAACAGGGGTCCTGGCGGTGGGGTGGGGCTGTGGGGGCAGATCCTGGAGGTTTCTGATGGATCCACATAGATCCCAGGGCCTGGCCTGGGGGACCACAGAGGCTGAGCTGACCCCCAAAGACAAGTCGATGTCAAGGGCAGTCAGAGTCAGAGGATGTTAGAATCTTGCCCACCTCCAAGATCACAGTTGGATTTCAAGTGCTTTTACTGGACATTTCCCAGAGCCGGAGCTGAAGCATGAGACTTTGGCCGAGGTAAGAAGGTGGAGCCTGATAGTTAACCTCTTGTGCCACCTGGAGGTTTTTCTCCCAGGAATTGGTCTTTGTCCTGAACTTGGGAACCAGATCATCAACAGCTTCAAAAAAAAAAAAAAAAAAAAAAAAGACTGATGTTTAATACAGGCATGTCAGATTTTTAAACTCTACCTGCCATGGTGGCCATCAGACCTCACGGTATGCCTCTTCCAAGAGGCAGAACAGGGCTACTGTAACCTCAGTCCATCTTGTGTGTGGCCCTTAGTAGATACATTGTTAAAGAGGGAATGCTCTCAGAAAGTGAGGCACAGGGGTGAGAAAATTCATGGTAGGGTCCAGCCTTTGGTCGTCTCCCAGTCCTGGTCCATTGCTCACCCAGACTCTGCCTGGGGTCCCCCCTGACTTACCGTGCCCCTACCCCTGCAGAAGCGGTACCGTGCTGTGTACGACTACAGTGCCGCCGACGAGGATGAGGTCTCCTTCCAGGATGGGGACACCATCGTCAACGTGCAGCAGATCGATGACGGCTGGATGTACGGGACCGTGGAGCGCACCGGCGACACGGGGATGCTGCCCGCCAACTATGTGGAGGCCATCTGAGCCCGCTGGGCACCGCCCTGCCCCATCCATCTTCAGTGCATTCCACTGCATCGCATCCATCCTGGGCGTGACCTGTCCACCCTTCAGTGTCTCTGTTTTTTAAAATCTGCGACAGCTTGTTTATTCTCCCCCTCTTCCAGCTTCTTTTGCCAACTGAAGCCTTGTTCTGCCACTTTCATGGCTCCTTCCTCCAGCAGGTTTTCCCGTTGACCAACTTTGTGATTTTTCTCTCTGGATGGATCAGGTGTGGACCGCTCTTGGGAGGGGAGGGGGCGAGGCCCATGGGGCTGGTCTGGGTGGGAGACCAGTCGGCTCTAAGTCCTCTGCCTTCTCTCTTTTCTGCCCCCTCAGTCCCTCCTGTCCACCCACCCAGACATTCCAGGGCCCCAGGATTCCCAGGGGAGGGACTCCACACATTCCCAGAAGTGGACCCCACCGCCCTTGCTCCTGGAACGGGGATGGGGGTGTGGAGAGGGTGCTGCCATTGTGCAGGGCTGCTGGCCCTCCAAGGTGTCCCCTCACCACCCTCTCCCCGTCTCAAGGGCAACAGAAGAGGGTAAAGTTCCTGCTTGGGGATTCATTCACCCCCTCCCCCCACCATTCCTTGTCACACTGTGATTTTGCTCTCCCGCCCACGCGGGCCTGGTGTGGGCCAGGAGCTCCCCAGGAAGCACGGCTTGGGTCCGGTTCTCGCCTTTCTTCAGGGACAGCTGAGGGGAGGAGGAGAACTAGGTGTTCTCTCTGCAGCCCTTTTCCCTCACTCCCACCCCAGTCTCCAGGGTCCCTGGCTTGCTTCCTCGGCTGGAAGTCATGGTTCTGAAAGGTAGAATGAGGAACGCTTGGTGCTCGCTTCGCAGCACATATACTTAAAAAAAGAGGAAGGCTTGGGCCTCCCAGCCTGCACAGCCCAGCCCCTGAGATCTGGTTACCCGCCTCTCCTCCCCCCTCCTCCTGGGAAGATGTCTCTGGCCTTCCATGGCCCCCCAACCCCCCAACTCCGGCCCGACACCAGGTGGACTGGACTGTGCGAAGCCACAGGCCCCTCTGTATCTGCAGGACCTCATGGGGGCGGGGGAGGAGTGCATGTCTGCAGGTGTCTGTGACAGGCTGGAGTGAGTGTGAGCATGAGAGAAGCAGGTGGGGTGCAGCCCATGTGAGGAACTGCCTTCCCTGTTTTCCTCAAAACCCACAATGAGAGGGGAGGCCCTGGGGGAGAGAATTCCTTATGTTTTCTTGGGAGTGAAAAATCCCTCCTTTTCCTTGTGGCCCCAAATGGGGAAGCCCACCATCCCCCTTTCCAATGGGCAGGGCAGAAATGAGGGGTGA